ACCCTTCTTGTCGTGTTCTCTCTTTGGGGACTCACACGGGACGTCATTGGGCCGCAATGTCTCGGCGTGGGCATGCGTTATAACACCATAAACCGCATAGGTTTAGTGCTGTTGACTTAAACCCGTTACTACTCACTCACAGGATAGAGTGCAGAGGCAGCTATGTCAAAGCATAGTTCGGCACAACGCATTAGGGCCTCGGAGCCATTTTAAACATGATGACTTTGCTGAAAGACGAAGGAGCTATCAATATCAGTCGTCACGGTTGAAGGGCACTTTGGGAGAATAGTCACACTCTTTTAGCTAAGCCATGACAAACTCTAGGGTGCAGTAAGTATGCGCTTGAGTTTTTAGATTTATTTATTTATTCTGTCTATGAAAAATGTCGAAATTCGTCTTGTTTCTTACGAAACGCTAAGTTTTCCCGTTAAATTGCACACGAACATGCGTGTGTAGACGGACCAATAGACCAGTGTGTAGATCGATGCTCTAGCAAAACAAATATGTGTATTTCTGAAAAATCAGTACAGGTCTGTCAGAATTTAGGAATAACAAGAAAAAAAAATTAGCTTTCGTAGGACGATCGTCAGAACATGGGAATAAGCTGTAAGCAATTAATCAAGTAGCAAAAATTATCTCGAAAATCCGAATGTGAAAAAAAACTTGACGTCTTTGATCTGTGCAAAAAATTAATGGTGAATCATTGCAGGGCTAATCTTTCCGCAGGTAATGCTTAATGTAGTCCTGCACTCTTTGAATGTCCACTTTCAGCTCCTCCAGAAGCCCTGATACATGGTCAGCTGGATCAATAACCCGCACGGATTCCGTGGCCGGATCGTACTCTATTTGAAATGGTTTTTTGATTTTCTGGGAAAATTCGCTAAAAATAGCAGGTAACATGCGTACAGTCAAAAGGGTGAAGCAGCCTCCGCCGAAACATAAACGTAGGGGGCCTTAAAAAAAACGGTCAAGTGGATTCAGATAAACGTTTTTACAGTAAGTGAATACATTCGCGCTGTCTTCTTGACTCTATGCGAACTGCAATAATGGTGTCGGCAACCGCCTCTACCGCACCTATGCTTCTAGAATACGCGATATTGTAACGACCGTGGCGGGTTCCTCTGTTTTCGTCCCCTTATCGGCAGACACGGCAAGCAGCAAGGGCGTATCATGGCCAGATCTTCGGGACTCTGTGGTCTCCTCCTAGTGTGACCCTTCGGATAAAGATATTAAACGCGATGAGCTCCCGCTGGCTTGCCACAATCATTTTCAACAGCATGCCGGCCCTACCTCGCATACACTTTCCTCCCACGAACGACAGTTTTTCTCCTAAAATCCTACAAAAGACATTCCGACTTCTAGATTTTCTGAACCATGCCTTAGGAGTTTTTTCACTATCTGTTGTTTTTGCTCAGTTGCACCTACTAGCTCCTGTCAACTGACATCACCACACTCGATTATATTACTTGGAACAAGTGAGTAGTCGTGTACGTTGACTTTTAAGAACTAACCGACTTTCAACTACAAGTATGTAAACGACCTCGTTTGAAATGTCCTGCTGTACCGATGCATT